ATGCACTTCGCTAGATAAACGTTAACATTACTGCGGATGTACAGTAAGTAAGCTATCGGGCTGCTAACATTAACATAACAAGTGTATGTTGACTTAGCTAACTATCGTCATGTTGGTCAAAACACAAAAAAAAAACACTTACCTGTGCGATTGTGTTTCTATGAGAGTGTGGCTGACATGTAATGTAAAGACGTCCGATGTTAAAATCAGAGGTTAAATGGTTTATTCCCTCTCCAGCAGCAGAGCCACACCTGTCTGATAAAGTTTGAACATTCTTACAAGAGTTCAAAAATCAGCGCCGGTTTTTTTCTTCGTGGGCTGGGTTGGAGGAGGTCGGTGAGCGTTATCACCCCCAACGGTTTTAAAGGTGGTACTGCAGGGCGTAATGGCCATAAATGCTGCAGCGTCCTCTGGTTCCCAAAACTTAAAGGCTCAAAGGACCCCCTGTGATGCTTTAGGGGTATAGGATTATTCACTAGATGTTAGCCTTATGATAAAGTGGGTTTTATGCATACTATATCGTCTGGGGGGGACGCTGGGGACATGTCCCCACCACTTTTTGAAATGGCCAATTTTGTGGAAATAAATAGCGTGCACAAAGAAATGTCCCTTGGAGGGGGTGTCCCCTTTAGGCTGGCCATGACACAAAATCTCTCAAAACATGAAAACTCACTTCAAAGGAAATTAAAACATAAAAAGTCCTGTGCCTTTGCGTATGTTTCTTTCATAAAGCAGCAAATCTTTGTCCCCATTTAAAAAGAAAATTGAAATTATTATTTTAATTTTTTTTGTTGCTTAGCATTTTTTAATTCAATATCTTTTTCAAGTTTTATATAAATATGTTTTTTAAAAAGTCATGTATTTAATTATTTTCTTTTTTTAATGAAACCTTTTTTTTCAAGTTAGTCTTGTATTTATTTATTCCTGCATGTATTTATTTTCATATTATTTATTTCTGGGTTTGGTTTGTTTTTTCCTGTATTTATGCGTTTTTACCATGGTTTTTACTCATGTCATGTTCTGTCCTCCATACATGCACACTGATGTTAAATCTGTAGAAATCGTCCCCACCACCTTTTCTAACAGTGTGTTATTTTCATAATGCATTAGTTATATGCAGTGGTGTAAGTAGATTTACTCAAGTATTGCATTTAGGTACACATTTGAGGGACTTGTACTCAACTTAAGTACTTCCATTTGTTGCTACTTTCTACTTCTACTCCACTTCAATTAAGATGTAAATCGTGTACTTTTACTACATTTATTTAATACTTTAGTTACTTTGCCAATTTGGATGAATGATGTCAAATATAATCAACAATGTAATAAGACTTAAGTTACACCCAGAGTCAAATTTAACATCTACCCTGCAGTATACAAAGTAATTGAAGTTGGCTGCACCTTGCATTAATTTTTACAATCAAAAATATATGATATATTATATTCTGAAATGGGCCAATATGCACGAGTATACTTCTTCTTTTCGTACGTTTGGTAAGTACATTTTGATGCTAATAATGTTGTACTTTTACTTGAGAAACATTTTGATTGCAGGACATGTACATTACACCCTGGGAGTTCTACTTTTACTCAAGTACAAGATCTGATTACTTCTTCCACCTCTGGTTAAAGGACATTATATAGGCCTATATTATTATGATAGACGAGCTCAGGAGTCTTACCCTGCATTCACCCAAAGTCGTAACATAAATGAATATACAACATTTTAGTCAATTAGTAGTGTGAGTGTATTTAATATGTATAATTTATTAAACATTGATTTTGTCATTTATTTTTCCAATTGTAATATCTCTTTCAACTGTCCAATTAATTATTAATTATTGAACGGATGGCAGCTTCAAGACTTCTAACATCCTTTTAGAGTAGGGAATAATGGGGGTCATACATTATGCAAAATGTTGCCTATAATGACCCAATCAATATTTGTAATCTACCATACAGAAAAACAACAATACTTTTAAATATCTGGATCAAACTCTGTATCAAATATGCTCTGGCGTTTGATAAGTCCTTTCTTTCAAATATCAGCTTCCAACTGTGCCTGGTAGCCCCATTGGTATTGTAAATAACCATAAATGACTGACCATAAATAGCCTTTTCTTTTGCACAAAAAATAAGCAAGTCAATTTTGCTAAAGGTTTGTGAGTCCAGTATCTGCTGTGTCCTGCTTCCAGTGCTTTGTATCACAAATATTCAATTCTGTATAGTGAAATTATGTATGAAATCGTAAAATCCTTTGAAACAGCCAGTGTATTCTGGTTTGTGAGCCTGGCACATGGGATGTTCACAACAGCATCATTAATCAGCCATGCATGGCATATCTGGGTGCAGCAGAAGCTCTACTGTGCAACATTAAATCAGGGTAACACACACAAACACACTAAATCAATTGCAAACCATTTACATGTATGTCTTCATAACACATCAGACTTTATAAACAACTCAACACTTTAACTGATTTGTGTGTACTTGTGTGTTTTTATGATGCATTGACAGCCTGATTTAGCTTCACACTTGTCCCCAGAACATTGTGTGTTCTGAATGCTGCAGGTCCATTAGAGGTAGTTTGAGATAATAAGACCTGTCAGTCAATATGCGCTCTCCGTCTTACTCCATTATTCATCTCTATGTGTACATTTCCTCTAGTCACAGATCATTTAACTGCAAGGATTCTCCTTTTACATCAATCATCGTCTGTCCATTCTTAAACTGAGTTGACTTTTAAAGCTATTTGCATTCATCTGTAATTCGGCATTAAACCTTGCACTACCAACCAGGATCTAAAAAAGGGAAGTAATTTGTCTTTGTATGCACCATTATACCAAAGTAAATTCCTCGTATGTGTAAACGTACTTGGTAATAAAACCGATTCTGATTTTGAATTAATATTGCAAGTCAGAACGGTTGCTTTCATTGGTACATTTTTTACTTACGTAATGTTTTTAAAGAATGTGTGTTTAGAACACAGTGCAAACATTCTATTTATCAGATCATACAACATATTGTAAAAGGCATGTTACCACTTTGTTGAGTTTATTCAGACAGCATATAACTTGTACTGCAATACCTGTACATATATTCTTTCATTTACAAGCTGCTCTTAAGACAGAGTGTTTACCTGAATGATGAGTTCATAGCTGTCCTTCTAAAAGGTGTGTGGAGAATAAAACAACAAAATCAAATGTGAAAAAAGTGTCAGGAGGCTCTAATGCACCAAAGTTTCAGAGGAAGCACCTGCGGATTGTGCTGACTGCAGGGTTAGGCCTCCTCAGTGGCACCATTGGAAAGGTAATGGATCCACAAACAGCCTCATGGGGGACACTTGGCAGATATACATCTATCTACTTAGGAGGATGCGTTGAAGCAGAACACACCCTCTTTACATCCTGTCTATGTGCGCACAAAGCAACATTAACTTTAAGCGTCTGTATACAGAAAAACAAACATTTGGATTTATGGCATTTTCCCCAACAATATGCATAGTTTCTGTCCACTTTGGTGCATAAATGGAAAAAGAGCTTATCTATTGTTAAACAGAAACATATTCATCCATATCTGACAAAGTAGAGGGAGTAGACACAAAACAATATAAACACCTAGAAAACGTAACGCAAATACATTAGCCCTGCAGTTAAAAAGTATTAAGACAGTGTCAGGGTTTGAATTTCACTATTTAGTTATTGACAAGGGTAACACATATTGTAAAGTCAGTCTCTTAAATTGACCGCATTGTAATGCACAATGTATTAAAGGCTTATCTTCGAATTCAATCAATGCCATAAAACCTTACAAGCCTCACAAAGGTAGTTGTTATCGAGGACATATTGAATTTCATTAAATGTTTCCAGTGTGCATGTTTTGTTGTCAGCCCCCGACAGACTTTACAGTCTGGCACCAAAAGTCAATTTATATATAATGTCTCTGAGTTAACAGGATGTTTTTACAAAATGGATTGTCACACCACTGGCAGGACTCAACATCTGTGAAAGGACACCGGATAAATCTGATGGTGCTAAGTGAGTCTGCAGGTATGTGGGGAGGCTTTGGCCAAGTGAGCATAGTGATAAGATAATGTGCATAGATGCACTCCAAACATCCCATCAATTGGATTACAAGTGTAATATCCCACTCAGAGTGTTTACTGGAAGAGGCTCCCTCTTTCCTTTCCTGCTTCAACAACAACAATACTTTTATCTTCCATGTTTTGAAACCTGACACTTGGTAAACACTCCAGCCCGAACACATTCAAGAGTGGATAAAATAGCTTATATTTTATAGTTTGAAAAATGGCAGCGAACTCTATAAAAATAATATTTCTATTGATTTAAGCTTGTTAAAGCAGTATATTGTGTTGCTTCATGAAAAGAAAAGAGCATCTAAACTGAAAAAAGTAAAACAGTTGTTTCAACAGAATCTGTTACTATTTATGAACTGTAGATGTAAAACTCTCATGTACTAATTACATTTTTATCTTAAACTGAATTAAAAGAAACCTGAAAGTGGTGGTATTGTGATTTTTCAGAAAAGGGGTGGAGAAAAAAGGAGAACAAAGATTGCATTGGCACAGTATCACTAGTCTTACCATTCCATCTCAGAGATATCATGACATTATTTTAAACATTCATCCTTAATTACTTTTTATTTGGAGCTACCTGAAACTATTGATAAAGAAAAATTGTGGAATAAATGGCATGGGCGATTACTTACAATTAGTTGTAACTGCACGAGGGAGTGTGATTTCTAAATAAGCTTCACTTCAAATCCTCCAGTGGAAGTCATAAATAATGTTCCTGCATGCAGCGAGGTGTAAAAGGTGACTGAATGTTAACTGATCTCTGATCCAGATCTATGGTCCAAGTGCCACAGTCTCCCCTTTCTCTCTCTCAATGAAAAGGGCGTTCACTTTTCTTGGGTACAGCACATAGCTGCTGAAAATAAATAACTAAAATGACAACGGAATTAGATTTCTGACAAAATCTTCAAGACCCAATGGTGCAAATGGGAACGACGATGATGAGAATGATAGTCACTGCAGTGAGAATGAGTGCAAGCAGCTTGCAGACCTTTGCCCGGCGGAGGTCAGCCTCTTTACGCCTGAGAAGAGCATCGTAGCCAGGAGAGTAAATGTCGTCCATCCAGAACTCCATGTTGTTGGGGTTCAGGGATTCCTGGGTCTGGGGAATATTATGACATTTAAAGATTTTTTGAGCAGAAATAATCCTATTTAGATGAAATCCTGATGTTAGGAAAATAAGAATATTGTATTCTCTTTCCTGCTTTGAATGATTATGTGATGTGAATTGTATTTTACTCCCAATTTTCCATGATGCATGTGTACAAATGAAATATATTTAATTTATTCATTTTAAACATTGACTTTTTATAAAGTCAAGCTACACATTGAAATTCAATTTGTTTAAAAAAATATTTTTACAGTTAACAAATCTGACCTGTAAGTCCAAAGGGGAGATCCGGGCCTCTCTGTCGTCTACAGTCCATACGGGCCTCACCCTTCCCTCAGACAGTCTGGGCTCCAGGACCTTCCCAGATGCAAGTCCTCCTGTTAGACTGCTGTCTTTGTTGCGGAACAGGGACGAATTAAACACTTGTTCCATCAGGTTGGGTTTTTTGGAGAGTAGGTGAGCTGTGCTGCCTGATTCATCTGCCTAAAAGAGAAATGGACCAAACAGAAAAAAATATACAGACTGTTTACACTACATCAATTTAAACCTTTAAAGAATATGACATGTTTCTTAAAGCCCTGACAAAACAGCTCTATATCTATTATTCAATGTGTGTTATAGTGTATATATTTGTGTTCAATGTGTTAGATTCTCCATTTTTACTTATATACATATTTAATGAGCATTGTTGGAGCGAGCGAGCCGGAGATCTACACTTTTCATTCCCAACTAAATGTAATTGTTGAGCATTTGACAAAAATAACTTTTGTTCACTCACTGTAAATGTTTCAACCAACACACCACAAAGTGGCCTGATGTCAGCCTACCACACAATCACATGGGTTTACCCAGCAGACCACAGGGCCAGCTACTGGCCTAACACATTAAATGGTTGCATAGCATGGTAAGTATTGTACTATTTTTGCTTTAAAAAATGTAACACTGATTAAGGACTGATATTCATGTGCTGAAACACTGATCATTGAAAAGAAAATATAATTAAATATATGCAGTAAAATGACTCTACCTGCCCATGTGTAGCTTTGCCATCTTTACTTTTTGAAAACGACACTGTCCAGTCTCTTGCAGAGTTGGAGACTATTAGCTGTTTAGAATCAGAAACCCCCTTTTCTTCAATCTGGGTTTTGGAGGTGCGACGAGACGATGCATCCTTCTTCCCTTCTTTCCCCCCTTTTGAATCAGCCAGAACATTGCTGCTTTCTGTTTGCTCCCCTGCAGCGTTCCACCGGCTCCATTCAAGACTACTCGTGCTGATCCCGGGGAACAGATGCTCAGAGACTGACAGAGGCTGAGGATCCGATGACTCAGAAGGGGTCATAGGGTGGCTCATAAAGGAGGAGACACCACTGAGAGGCTCCAGCCATCGCCCGGTGCCTTGTCCATCAGTGATAGGCTGCTGGATCTTTTCATCCAGCCGCTGCAGTGCAGACAATACCTGCGAAATCTCAGCCTTTACATCATTCAGTGTCCCAAGTTGTCTTTCTATCTGGCTCATACGGAGCAGCAGCTTACATACACTGGCCTTGAGCCCATCATCGCTGCTTTCAAGGGAGTGAAAAAGCCTTGATAGTTGCCCTAGGCGACCGCGTCTGGCCTCATGGGTGTCCTGGTTAAGGGCACCTGGTCCATCACTGGGGTGCAGGACTCCCGTGGAACCGCACATGCTTATATCATCTAAGAAGCGAAAGATGGCGCTGATGTCATCCTCACCTAACTCTGGGTCATCTAATGAGGTCATGAAGGAGAAACGATCAGCGTGGACCAAGCTCCGGAGGCGTCGGGTGTCCGGCGGGTCCGTCTGTGTTCCCTGAGCCTTAACTCCATCGCTTCCACCTGGCAATCCACTATCCCCACTCTCACCTCCTGAGGACCCCCCTAAATTGCTCATAACAGGGGTTGAACGTCTTGGAAGTTGTCCCCCTCCTATTCCAATGCTCCCCAGGCCTATCCGATCCTCTAGACTGTGACTCTTGTTGCTCCAGAAGGGCTTTTGGGTCCTGGGAGGTTGTAGGTGCCGAGGAGACCACTCTGGGATTGGCCGGGGTCCAAAGTAAGTTGAGTCCTGTAGGTCATCGAGGCTCTCATGTTTAACGCACGGCTCTGTTGATTGGTGGACTGTTGCTGGTGATGGGTAAGGATTCTGGATTTTTTCGAAGCTCAGATTGTCAAAGCCTTTCTGTCCTGTGTTGGGACTGGGAGACTCGCTGTTAACAGTCACCTGCGGTATTAGAGGCGGCCGGTTATGGAAGTCTTTCTTAAAGATGCTTCTCTTCTGGTCGACAGACGATCCCTGTTCATCTTCAAACACTTCTATGGGCGCAGAATCTCCACTAGACACGCTTTCTGTCTCCAAAGGTAGGTACATATTATCCATGACCTCGTTGTAGATTTGACCACTGGGGTACAGAAGTGTGGTGTGAGGCAAGCTGAAAGACACAGCCCTCGTCCTGATTGGAGGGGAGGACAGAAGTGAGATGGGATCAGGGGGAAGACTTCCTCGCTTGTGGGCAGAGTAATTAGATCTTGGAAGCAGCAAGTGCTCATCGATCGGCCTGCCACCGGAGTCAGAGTGGGCACGTGGTCTTTCTCGACCAGAAAGGTTCAGCTGTTGGATTCCAGGAAGGTTGGGGCCGGGGGACTGATCGGCGGGGAGGATCATTGGTTGGCTGTCATCAGGAGCCCCTGCGGTCATTTGAATAAGATTGAATATTGTTACAATATCTGCAGCGACGCCTATGGGGGATAGCCCCTGGCCTCTGGTGGAAACCCGGTCTCTGAATAGAGTTGCCGGGAAACAGGGGTCCTGGCTGGCAGCAGCAAACAGTAAACTCCGGAGCTCAACGAGGTTCTCCAGGTCAAAACGGGTGCTGACCATGCGACAAAGATCCTGGAAGGTCAGCCATTGACGCATATTGGCCAGTTCCTCCAGTATCCCCAGAAGGACCCCAGAGTATTCCTGCTGCAGGTTAGCCATGGCTGCTCACCTAAGAGAAAAAAAGAGGCAATTCGTGAGCCAAAGTAAGCCAATTTGTGTAGCAACCCTTCAGAACAAAGATGTTTTAAAATGATCTACGTAACAAATAAAAAGCCATTAAGACAAGAGAGAAAAGTGAGAAAAGAGAGATTTATTAAAAGTACAATTATAAGATAATGATGTAATTTGTATAGCATTATATTATATAAGAAGAATAGGCCTAATGAAGCAATAGAAACAAAACAATAATGTTATACAGTATTGGTTTATTATTAAAATATATATTTGGCTCTACATCCTTAACAATGCTATACATGTTTATAATATAAATGCATTAATAGTATTAATAATACACCAAACGATTTCTATAAAAATATAATCTTGATTTATAGTTTCACTATTACGTTGCATTAGTAGCCTAGCATATATTTCTTGATATGAAAGTACCATAATATGTATAGGGGTAGTGGATAATTAATCAAAGTAGACTTTTCAGCTAGAAGGGAGAAAGCCCTTTAAGAGGGAATTTAGAAAGTGACCTTATTTTTGTGTCCTAAAATAACTGCTCATCTGACCAGAGGACTGTCACGCTGCGCACATCTTTACCTCACTGGACATTTTTAGTCTTCTCATTTCTAGTAACGGCCTAAGGGAACACTCGTCTTTTACAGAACAAATGCGGCATATGTGAATTTTAACGTGCATTCAGTAACTTTATTTCAGACAGATTTAAAACGGTCTAAAGATGAAGGCAGGACAAGACGTTTTGTTGGAAAGCGCCCACAAATATTTACCTTTTGTGCATCCGCTGGGACACCAATGAAATGTCAGTGTTGCAAATGCAATACGGACTGCTAACATTTTGCCAAAGGTGTAGCTTTAAGCAGAGGTGAGCATAGTAGTATTTCCACTTACCTGGTTCTATATATAGAGAATCACGGTCACTCCTGCGTCCATGAGAAATGACAAATAAAATCCCGTTTTACGCAAATAGCAAGGCCATATTCCAAAACGATCCGGTGCGGCTCATACTCTCACACTCCTTTCATGGGCTTCTCTGTTTGTAGCAGAAACTAGCCCACAGCTCAGACAGGAGAGGAGAAAATTAGAAATCAGGTCATCTTCCCACAAGTCTTTGCAGTCCCCTAAGGGACATTAAAACCCATCCAAACGGGTTCCCCTCAACACAGATCACTGATGACACTGGCCAAAGTCAACAGTGTACCCACATTTCTGATTGATACCTAGAAAGGAAAGCACCCTGTTGGCAGGACACTCCGGTGTATGAGTGGCCCAGGAGCATATTTCCACAGGGTGCCATAACGATAATTGGTTGAGTGTGCAAGTAGAGCCTATAGCAATAAAGGACAGATTAAAAATGTATGTTTGCTAATTGACACTCCAACCTGACAGCAAGCCATAAGGTCTAAGGTAAATTGTCTGCTAGATTGCTGCCTACACACAGAACTGTCTGCCAGACCTCAGCACCCTCCCCCAGACTTTTCACCATTACTCTGCATTATCATCCATACAGGCTTGTACTTAAAACTCCATTAGAGCAAGAGAAGGGCAAGGCTTTCATCGGCGAGTAGTAGCACTCCACTACAATCAGAATGGACATCTCTAAATTATCTGACAACTCACAAAAAAGCACATCCATCATCCCATGTACTCAGGAATCACTGGGAATCAATGAGGTGAATGAGCCGTGTTATGTGGATTTAGGTTTAAGACAATACAGTATGACTGCAGGCCTGTAGCATAGGAGTTCTGTATACAGCGGGGAAACAAGTACATAAGATAAATAATGCATTCAAAAGATAATCTACTTTTATTTTAGTGCATTATTTGATGGTACATGGTACAAACAAGAATATAAACTGAGTACAAATATAGTACAGTATAGTTTTTGACATGTGTGCACACCACCAATGGACACGATTTCAGCAACATACTTTAAGCACACTTCTAGAAACATTTCAAATTAGACTGAACATTCAATAAGGTACAAATACCTCTTGCTTAAAAGGTACTGTTGACCCCAAACATACACATTTCCCCTTTAACCTGTAGAGCAGGGGTGCCCAATACGTCGATCGCGATCGACCGGTCCATCGCAAAGGTAGTTCATGGCATTGAAATCTTTTTTTTTTTTTTTAAATGTTTAGCCTATCATCCATCCTTACTATGGCATTTGCCACTTGATTGACGTACAGGTAAGCCAGTCTGAGTTGTATTGTGCCATACGGGTTCATGCAGTTATGAGGGGGCCTCACCTCCTCATCTGAAGCGCAAATGCGGCGCAATTAGTGTAAGCGCGCCACATTTTTTCCACCGTTTAGTCCACTAGCATCCACTAGCACCATGTAGGTAGATCATTTGGGCGTGGTCATTTTAAAAGTAGCTCCCAAGCTGAAAAAGTGTGGGCACCCCTGCTGTAGAGCTATTTATCTAAAAAGTGTTGGTATTAGTTACCTAGTAATGTCACTTCCCTTGTGGTGCTCAAAGCCCCAAAAATATTTCTAGAATCATGACCCAGTTACTCAAGATAAACCACAGACTTTGTTGACCTTTATAAAATAGGCCTATTTTTTTCCTAACATACTACAAATGCCAGTCATCGTGCAGAAGAAGGTAGCAACAGAACAGTAGTGCCATTATTACCAGCTAAGAGACAACATTTTTTTACAAGACATTTACTATATGAATATGTAAAATGTTAAGGTTTCAGCTGAGATGAGATTCTCGTTCTCTTTTCTTCTTTGGTTTTGTTTTCACAGGAGCTACAACTGTTGGGGTCAGAGAAGGATTCAAGGCTGGATCTAAGGCTGGGTTCAGGGCCAGCAGGTCCAATATAGCAGCACCCTGGTAACCTGTTGAGATATGACACCATGAAGGACAGAGATATACAGTATATGAACTATCTGAGCTAAAACGGGGCTTACCAGTGTTGTCCTCTTCCCCGCTGGGTTCTGGGTCGGGACTGCGGAGAGAGACTCGGGCCAAGGCTGCCAGCTCACTTATAAAGCTCTCTTCTGCATCCTAATGGATACAAAAACAAAGTGCTTACAAACAATGATTGCAAGATCGTTAATCAAGTCATAAACCTAATGTCCGACAGGGAAGTACAGAAGAAAAGGAAACATCTTAACCATGATCTGCATTTTGATTTTTTCCATGTTCTGGTCCTGGGCTACTTTCTTCCGCCTCAGTTCCTCATATATCATTTCCTGGTCCAGATCACACTGTTCCAGCACCTTCCTTTTGTGGAGTTCAACCCTGACACACAAGAAAACAATTGTATTTGTATCTGATGTATTTAAGAGTAACACAATTGTGGAGGGAAGAAGATCAGTGTTGTGTGCGGTTGTTGCACCTCTGTTGAAACTCAGCAGAGGTGGGTTTCTTGCCCCAGTTCACCAGCTCCCTCAGCAAGGATCTGCTGAGCTGACTGCTGCTCTCTTGTTGCTCTTTTACCTCTGAAGAAACAGAATCAACACACAGTCACATTTGTAACTTTTTGATCTACTCAAATGTGTATCTTCTGCTGTCTACTTAAATTACGTTGAGTAGGTTATAAGGTTATATATAACAAGTCGAAAAGCAATCCAAATATTCTATCTTGTATTGCAAATATTTTCCCTGTGAGTGAAGCATCTACTACATGCATTTATTAAAAGATAAGGATTAAGGTTGCAGCTGTAACAAGATCAAACCATTTTTTAACACAAGTAAACATGTGTATGTGAGTTGTGATTGTTAATCTCACCTGGGTTGATGTTTGTCTGATCCTGCTGTAATTTCTTTATGATGTCTTGTAGGTGGGAATAGTAGCTCTGGACCAGTGCAGTGAGAGAGTCTTTGGTCACATACACGCTCTCCGAGGCAGTCTCTGTCAGGTGGCGCTAAGAGGGAAAAACATGTTACTCTTTTTTTTCATAAACACAGGTAAGACAATAATATCTGACTTTGAAAACATATCTCCAGAAAAAAGTAAATAAAGTGTTATACTAATTTATTTCCCGAACCCTACCTTCAAGCCATCGTCCTGCTTCGGAGAGGCCTCAGAGGGCGAGTTCTCCATCATCTGTTGGATGGCGTGGCTGAGGGCGTTGCCTAGCACCAGCTGTGCATGGCTCTGTAGAAGCTCTGTCCCTGTTTCCAGTTCAGACAGGAACTCCTGCTGGAAGCTGTGGCCCACCAGCTGACTCTCTGGACCCAGATGCCTCTCTGCTAGGCTGGCACTGCTATTCTGTGATTGGTAGATGCAACAAATGTGTTCAATCTGCTGTTAATCTATTACTTTAGATAAATAAATGGACACATGCTGTATTTTGCAATGGTTATGAGGTGCCTTAAAGAATGTGTTCATCTTTTTCTCCCACCTTGAGGGTTGGATTGACACAGGACTGGCTTTTACTGGGATCTTCCATCAGCACAGCTCTGAAATCAGTCTGAGACAGTGCCTTCAGCTTGGACAGCCTCATCTCCTTCAGCATGTGCAGACAGAAGTGCCTGACCACAAAGTACCTCTGCACCGCCACCAACAGGTGCTCATGTTTCTTCTCTATCAACCTCCCCACGTAGCTGGGAAGAATATTGCATTGCATTATTTCCGAGTATCTCATAACAATTGATTTCGATATTGTATAAGTGGATATGGCTGGGTTGTACATCTGTTTTTAGTACATCAGGAACTCTTTTACAACCTTCATACTCTAAAACTACTTTGGACAGAGGTTTTCCAATCTCACCTGTTGAGTGTGTAGCTCTGTCTGGCCACCATGGCTCTGAGGATGGTCATCTGTTGCTCACTCAGATATTTGAGGCAGGCCTGCACCAAAGCCATCTCCTCACTCCACACCTACAGAGAAAATGCTCAGTTAAAAACAATGGAAAGCCCCTAGAAGGATTAGACTTTTGCAATTATCTCAAGATATATGTGCACACCAACTATGGACAAACTGTGCTGCTGTCAGTAAAGCAGTAAAGGAAAGTCG